AGCCCCAGCCTTCTCCCCAGTTCCTAGGCAAAAACACAGACTTGAAGCTACCCTGTCAACCCTTGTATCCAGTGAATCCTGGATAAGCTGCAGCATCTTCATCCTTACTTTAAATAGACCATTTTTTCTCCATTCCACTTGCGGATCACTGTCCCCAGTTTTGCACCGTATTTGAATTCTGTCACTCGGCCATTTCCAAAGTAGTCACTGCCTTTGATGGGCTCTCCACCCAAGTCAATTACCTGGTACAGGAAAGAAAACTTGCATCCATTCTTGTTTCACAAAGACCTAAATGCAATGCACAGCACTCAACATTATTTCTCGCWTTACATTGAGAAAAAAGTATTTAAGTATTTATGTTGTGTAGATCAACACAAAGTCAGTATAAGACACAATGGACACATATAAAAACATGAATGAAGAAAGGAAAGGTAAAGTTGACAATCTGTGGTGGAGGCATTTTTAAAAACAAAAACTACCTAAGTCTGCAGGTAATCTGCAAGTAAATTGTGAGCTCCTTCTGGGGTAAATTGGATGAAGATGTATTATTTTTCTTCTGAAGGAGAAGGCAAAAGAGATACGAAAGATAAAGATCAATATGAAGGAGAAAACAGGGATATTACCTCCTGGTAAATGAAAGGTTTAGTTCCTGCAGGAAACCATTCAGTATTAAGATCTTTCAGCTTGTCCAGAAATGCTCTTATGTCCCCAGGCCACATGTGCTTGGCAGCATCGATSCGGAATCCTGCCACGCCAATTTCAATGAGATGGTTCATGTACTCAGCAACCTTTGAGCGCACATAGTCCTTCTCCAGGGCCAGGTCCAGAAGGCTGACCAAGCGGCAGTTCCGGACCTGTGCAACGGAAATAAAAAAAAACATATCTGTGTATTACACCAGAGGAGTGGAGGTGGGGTAGTGGTTAATAAGGTTGGATTATATTTAGAAGAAGGAGTGGAGTGATTTCCAGAGTGAAGGCATTTGTCTTCCCAAGTCACCATTGCACATGATGAAGCCTGATAACAGCTGAATACCTTCCAAAGGGAAGTGGTGAACAAATTCTTTGGTTTACTTGGCTTGTGTGTGTGGCCTTCTCATTCGCTGGCCAAGTGACTAAGCACAGGTTTTGTGAGGCACTACACCCTTTGAATGATCTTACTGTAGAGTTCATAGAACATGTTTAAAAGAAAGAGAGAAAAAGATTTGAAAATTTTGCSAGAGGAAGTTACCTGATACATATCTCCATAATTTTCAATGTCTCCACTTCCAGTATTACATTTGCCATCATTGAAATCCCAGCCAGAGTATGGTACAGCTGGAAAATCTCTGTTTCCAGTATTAAAATAGCTTCCACAGGTAGAATGTGTGCCTGAGCCACCTAGAGCCCCACACATGTGGTTGACAACAGCATCCACATAGATACGAACCTGGAAAAGCAATATATGCATTTCAGTATATTTTGMAGTGAGTGTGAAGTGATAGCCAGGGCTTCACCACATCACTATTAATTTTTTTCCCTTTCAGTTTCTTTTCAGTTTACACCTCCTTTGTGGACAGCAGCACATTCCCTCAGCTGAGACAGTACTTCTTGCTGTATCAGACACAGATTTTCAAGGCACTTACTCCAACATTGTTGCATCTGGTCACCATGTCTCTGAACTCCTGTTCGTTTCCTGATCGAGTACAGAGCTTGTAGCTAATAGGCTGGTATCTTTCCCACCAGGGTCTGTTCGGGTTCGTAATAACAATATTTTCATTTGGAGGTGAAACCTGCAGATGAAATTACATACTTTGGTAAGAAATCAAATGGTTTTATTTCAGCATTTAAAGGGCAAAATCTAGACTCAGGACCTCTGCCCTCAGAGGCAGGTTAGTGCCCAACCCAGTCTCTCTCCCACAGCAGAAGCTCAGGTCTGTGAGATGTTTGTCYTGTAGATTCATTATCTTGCAGCCAGAAAGACATTTTGGGTTGTTCCTGCGGGTTACCCAGGTCCAGCACAGAACTGCTTTCAAGAACATGTGCATGGAAGGRCTGGAGCCACAGGAATTATTTTTACCTGGAACAGTGACAGCTTAGGAAAGCCAAGCCTCARTGCTTATACGCTTCCCTTGAAATAAGGTAAAGATCTTTACCTTTTACTTAGCTTTCAGGGGAAGCCTTTCAGAGGAAAGCACGTCCCTTTGATCTGCTAGAGATACACCATCATTCATTGGYCTTAGGGTTGCTTCTAACAGCAGTTACTACTTCCAGCCCTCCCTCCTCAGAAGCTGACTGTCTTCAACTCAYGCATTTTGACTTATTAATTTTATATTACAATGCCATTTTCCTGCTACTCACAGGAAACAACTCACCTGAACACCTCCAAATCCATTAGGAGCTAAGTAGCGCTCACAYTCCAGAGCAATATCCTGCCAGCGCCATTCAAACAGATGCACAATAGATGTTCTCTTAGGGAGGGTGTTGGGGTTGTACTGCCCCCAGCAAAGCCCTGCAGCTGCGAGGAGGAGGACGAGGACTTGCATGGTGCCTTCAGTGTAAGGCTGTGATCTTTCCACTGGCTATTTATGTGCCTGCAAGATGACAAAGTTCCCACTGCAGGTGTCAAAATTCACAGGGATCAGTGTTATCAGTTATTATCTAGCTAGCTCAATCATTCCTTTGGTTTGGTTTTCTCCTAAATTACCCAACAGCTGAAGATAAAATACCTTTTCACAATGATTACACACGGTCATAAGCAAGGTGGTCTGTGAGCAGTGCACCCAAATCCAGAACTGCACTCTTTTCAATCATGTAAATAAAGATACTTTATCAAAATATTCCAAAACATTACACATAGACTCTCAAAGGAGTCTCTGGAAGGAAGAGTGGGAGGTGTTTGAAAGATGACTGGACACCTAACAGCACAAGGAGAATGAGTGGGTTTGCCAGCATTTAGAGGCTCTCAGGATTAGACTTGAGTTCACACCAGGATACCTGAACAACCCCACCTAATCAGTGACAGATTTATCACACAAGAGGTTGTGAGTCTTCACTARATGAATCCCACTGGTGACTACAAACACCTTTTCATACCTGATGTTTCTCCAGTGCCATTGCCCAGTCCCTGCTAAGAACTGTTACTGGTTTTTTTTCCATACAGTAAGGCAGAGCAGCTGTGGCTCTACCTGATTGTAAGTGATCAGAGCTTCATTTGCCTCTCCAGCAGACACCTTGCATAAGGCTTCATCTCATTTGAAATGATCAATGATTCATCWGAGCCAAGGAACAAAATCCAAAATCAGATGCAAATGATAGTGCAGRTGAGTTTTAGCTGCCTGTCCTGTAACAGCATCTGAAAGCTAGAGCTGTTGCCCAAGTACTTTCTTGCTTTTCCTAMAATTTCCTCCTTCAAAAAAACGACAACTTTTGACTTTTCTTTATTAAATTATTTCAGGTCTTCCTTTGAAACTGACTTATAAGATCAAGGTCTCAGCAACAATCCTCCCTGAATAAACTTGAGTCATACTAACCAGAAAACAATACTCAAGAGAATACAAAGACCAGAAAATTACTGCCATTTGATTAATATCTGTGAGAGAAAAAAAGTTCAAAAATATGTCACAGCTAATCCAGAAGAAACATCAGGTACAAAGTGCCTGAACTCCTTCTGGTGTGCTCTTTCTGAAACTAGCCAAGCCAGTGTGTCACATTCATCATTCTCTTTCCCAGATTTGGTCTTCAAGGCCAAAACACACAAGCAGATCCCATTTTTCCACCTGTTCATTTTCGTATCACAGACCTTATTAAAGGGCTCTTTTTCACTACTACGATGAAATAATAAATTATTGCAAATGACCTTGCTACTCACTAACAGCAAGGAGCCAGTGAGTGATTGAACCTTGTGATTACCAACTCAGGGAAAACAGACGCCATCATTCCTCCATATTACTGAGGGCAACTAAATGTGMCTGAGGTTAATTTTTACATCACCTTTCCCTGTGGAGTCCCATTGAAATGACAGAATGTCACTGMATGACTCTCAATTTCCAATGGCATGTGTTTTCCAGTGAACAATATGCTGCTGTCAGGCAAGAAGACTATGGACCAATGCTCAAGACCCGATGCAAGGAATGGCAAAGCTACTGGCAAAGGGGACTGGGAGACCTCACACAGTCCATGCAGGCTATTCAAGGGGGTTGCAAAGAAATGCTGACTTAAAGTCAGCACAAAGGGCTGGTAGGTGGCCTTTATTTTAGATAAACAACTGTGTCATTGTGTGCATCAGCAGAGAGTAACTGTAACTGTTTACCCCTCTGTTAATTAACACGTTTGAATGTCTCCTTGATTCAGCCAGACCAGCATGAGTAGCACACATGGCACAGCATGAAAAATGACATAAAGTTAACAACTAACAAAAGTGTTTTGAATGTAGCACTGGGCTTCACCAGGTTTCAACCCACATATTCCTTTCCTATAACAGGGAGCACCCACCATCCTAATGGTGAGCTCTTTATAGGCAGCAGCAGAGGAGATCAAGTCAGTATTGGTGTAACAATAGAAGATGTATGGTTTTGATTTATACAAGCACAAGCTGACTGTGAACCAGGTACAGGCTTGAATGATGCCACAGGCTAGAATAACTGACTGGCATGGACCAGCTTTCTCTGACCCAGGCCCCTTGTTTGGTTTGTCACACAAAAAGGGAAAAACTTGATTTAAATGCCATTTTTTATTCACCAGATAGAGAGAATGTATAGACCAACAGAAGAAACGCATTTTCAACTGAGCTGTTGATATCAACTTGAATTGTGCCATGCTTCAGCACAAAGGGGTCTTCTCTTGGTTTTTGGACATCCTGTCAATTCCCAGTCCTGCTTGCCCTTAAAGAGAACCTACATTTCTACAGAGCAGAACAATTTTAAATTAAATAATTTYTATCTTCCCCTGTCATTTTTATTAGTCCCTTAGCTGAATTGAAGTGCACTTACAAATGCATGCAGCATTTGCAGRTGGTATGTATATTTGCATGTATAGTAAACGGTATATATCGTATGTATATTTATGTGTATTTGCATGTATACCTACACTCCCAGACCTGCACTGGCATCACCAGCTCTCATCTCTGTACAGCAGCTGCTCACTATTTCATTAGTATTACAGCTAACACATTTTGCTCTGTCTCAGTTCATGCAGTGCTGAGAGCCAGGACATTCTGCACATCTGTTTGCTGTTAGCAAAAATACAGAGGAGAAGCAACAACACATGCACAACACATCTGGTTACAATTTGGCATCAATGTGAATGGCAATGAACGGGTCTTCAGCTTCATTSCCAATCAGGAAATTAGCCGTGCCATCAGCAGCAACATGAACTTCAAYTGCTGTACAGAAGTCACCTTCCTTTTGCCCAGAAATGACATCACAGTAAGTGCCAGCAGGCAGACCAGTCTGCAGAGTTACATTCAAGGACCTTTAGAAAAGAATGAAATGCAGTAAGGATTATGAGGACTCTCAAATGCTCTGCAAATCATACTGGAGGTCTTCTCAGATGTTAAGTAATTCTGGAGTTATCCTCTAGCCCTTCTCTGCACGCTGCAGAATCTATTCAATAACTACCCCCTTCAAACTGCTCATCACCCCAACATATTTCTAAATATTACAGACCTGACATACTATCATTCTCTTATTATTTCTTTCTAGTGTAAAAGATCGCAATATAGTTTTTAAACCTGTCACACCTGCAATATATCCCCAGGTTCACAAGTCCCCTGACTGCTCTAAGTTCAGACTTTGCTGGCTGACCAGGCTCAGTGACAGAGCCAGCTTTGGAAGTGGGAAATAGCAAGACCACAAGGACTAACTGTCAAGAGTGAAGAGTGTCTCTGGTAGAGTGGAAAATGAGAAGTTTAAATTGGCAGCTACTGAGGCCTCCATCAGAAAGACCTGGTCAAACTAGCAATACTTTAAAAGGTTTCACTACAAACTTCATTATTTAAAATAAAAATAATAATTTATTAAYAATAATATTAAATAATAATTTATTTCTCTGACTTACCAGTCATCATTATTGAAGATGATGAAGCCTTTATTACCACGGCCAAAAGCCACTTGATTGCTGCCATTGTCCCACCAGTTGGAGAAAGGCTCACCATCCACCACATTACGGAACTTAACCATGTTCCTGAAAACACACAGCACGCCTGTCACTGCACCTGCAACAGCTCCAAAGCCACATGGAACAGAAAAAAAAAAAAAAGCAATCTCTTCTACCCCTTGTTCCTCCCCAGTGCCCTACTTGATTTGACGCCAGCGGTGTTCACAAACCCAGCCGTTGCCACAGGTCGTGTCCTCGTTGATTGTCACAGGCTTTATGGAGCCATCCGAGTTACTTGGGGGTCCAACCCAGTCATTGATGTCCTGTCATTRAAAACACAGGTTTACAACTTCTGACTGAAAATACAAAGAGCCCATCTGGAGAGCAAAGCTTCACCAGTTTCACCAGCTAGATCCGACACGGGACAGCTGTCAGTGAAATCACTTAACAAACTGAAATGCACTGGACTACTTCTCTGACCCTGTTCTGACCCTTAAYCCCMATGGAYGCATCTTCAGCATCACAAGCTCACCTTTCCATTTTCAAAATRTCTTGGCCAGCGAAAACTTGACATCACACGTGTGAACCCRTATGGATGGGCAAGCATGAAACCAACTGCCATTTTATAGAGCCTGTTTGTTGGACAAACAAGGAATGAGACATGGAAGGAGGAACCTGCCAGAGAACAAACAAGCACAAGAAAGAAGCATCAGCCAGACATGAGCAATCCCTTACCTGGCATCCCAGAAGGTGAGAATAGAAGCTCCGCCAGCCCCGTGCCCTCTCTGGTTGTCGTGATTATCCACAAAGACCAGGGCTCTGTCGGAAGGCACAAAGCCCCAGCCTTCTCCCCAGTTCCTAGGCAAAAACACAGACTTGAAGCTACCCTGTCAACCCTTGTATCCAGTGAATCCTGGATAAGCTGCAGCACCTTCATCCTTACTTTAAGTAGGCCATCTTTTCTCCATTCCACTTGCGGATCACTGTCCCCAGTTTTGCACTGTATTTGAATTCTGTCACTCGGCCATTTCCAAAGTACTCGCTGCCTTTGATGGGCTCTCCACCCAAGTCAATTACCTGGTACAGGAAAAATAGAGCATTTCTTTCTACCAAACCAATAAAAGACATTGCCTCAGACTTTGGGTTAACCAAGGGGTAGTACTTGAGCCAATTATGAAATCCGGCCTTCTTGCAAAATTGTATTTAAAGCTATTTTCTCCTTTTAGCTCAGCCCAGCTGTGAACCTCTTTTCCATCTCCATCCTATTTCTCCTTACACTGCTAGATCACTTAGCCATAACTAAGGCTTGGGCCATACCAACTTTATATTTAGTATGGTTACCAACACCTCTGCTTCCAGGAACTGAGCAGCCTTGTTTCACTATGGAGCTAAAGAATATTTCTACCTGACCTGGCTTTGCAGGCAATATACTAATTTAATAAAGTGTGTGTAGCAAGCTTAGCTTCTGCTGACTGAAACCAACAATTATCTGATTATTCCAATTTGTTATTCAAATGTAAAATACAAATTTGGAATATCAAGTAACAGTTGTTATGCCACCGGAAAAGAAATGTTGATTATGGTCTGAAACTTTATGTCTTCTGTTGCAATTTATTATCCAGAATTTAAAACTTAGGAAATGGAATCTCTTTTAAACCAACAGAATTTTTACATTAACTTCAACATCGTAAATTTCATCTCAATAAAATTTCCAGATTACCTAAATCCAGAAGGTCCAATACAAGCAGGACATTTTGCACATCAATTACTATTCATGGGCAGATTTGACATTTGTAGATTATGGTAATTAAATATTCAGGATGATTTCTATAGATTTGCTTTGGCTCAGCCCAGGCAAGGCATTGCTTCCCATGTGTGACCAAGTCTATACTGTGCTTGCAAGATGCTTGTAAAGCAAAATCTAAAAGAATGGGGATTACCTCCTGGTAAATGAAAGGTTTAGTTCCTGCAGGAAACCATTCAGTATTTAGGTCCTTCAGCTTGTCTAAAACCGCCTTGACATCGGCAGGCCACATGTGCTTGGCAGCATCGATSCGGAATCCTGCCACACCAATTTCAATGAGATGGTTCATGTACTCAGCAATCCTGGAGCGCACGTAGTCCTTCTCCAGSGCCAGGTCCAGAAGGCTGACCAAGCGGCAGTTCCGGACCTGCACACAAATTCTGAAATGAAACATTTTTCACCTAATGAACTTAATGTAGTGTTCTACACACATTTTGAATATCCTTGCCTATGTAACAATGCCAAATAAAACTTTCAGTAGCCTTTGTTCCCCATGCATGTCTTTGCCTTGGGAAGTCATCGACACAGATGCTGCATTAAGAAACTGCTTTTACCCCTCTTTTTTCAAATTGAGACCAAAGAAAGTTTCCAAATTACAATAAAAGGCAAATAGTAAGTTCTACCTTTTTTAACACACTAAATAGATTTTATGAGCTTTAAATTGTCTTTATTAAGTAACTAAGCACATTAGTCTAAATCTGAAATTAGCCATTGTCTCAAGTACAGCTATCTCTTTAAGAAGTAGTATTCCTGATAGCAACACTAACCTCTGTCATTAATTTGGATGGTTTTACATGAGACTTTTTTATTCCTTTTAAAAAATGTCTCACTGTAAATGAGAGCAAAGAAATCACAGTGCAGGAACAGATGTACATGAAAACTATAGTTGTAGGTTTACCTGAGATATATCATGATAATTCTCAATGTTTCCACTTTTAGATTTACATTTAGGATCATTGAAGTCCCAGCCAGAATAGGGCACAGCTGGGAAATGTTCAGTCTTTGCATTGAAATAGCTTCCACAAGTAGCATGGTCACCAGCCCCAGCATTCGCTCCACACATATGGTTGATTACTGCATCCACATAAATGTGTACCTAGAGAACAGTATTCACATTACAATTTGAGAAAGCTACTTCCCACAGCATCACTAATTAATGTTCTCTCTCGCATACCTCCTGCCCAATCCCCCTATTTCTGCTTGCTTGTTTCATCCAASATTTCATTCATTTTTTTATTAGCATAGAGCAATGATGATAAAACATTCAGTTCAACAGACAGGCAGATAACACTGCATCCATTCTTTTAAATGTAGAATCACTGCTTGTCTATGCCCTTGCACTGTAAACACCAGAAGGTTTTAAAAGTACTGACTCCAACATTGTTGCACCTGGTCACCATGTCTCTAAATTCAGTTTCATTTCCAGATCTTGTGCATAGCTTGTAGCTGACAGGCTGGTATCTTTCCCACCATGGTTGTTGGGGGTCAGTAATGACAACATTTTCATTTGGAGGTGAAATCTGTGAATAAAACAATGACACTTGGTAACAGGATATTGATAATGGTTAATTTGTTTGCCCAGTATTTTTAGAGAAAGAACATAAACCACTTAGATCCTCAGTATCTTCTGCTTACACTRTAGTGGGCTGGAATAAGACCTAGGCCTGGCCTTCAACTGGTAGAAACATAAAATTAGGTCTGTGGACAGAATGTCCTAATTATCTTTGTGGCTGCAGGCCTCAAAAAGAAGCRTCTGAAGTTGAAGAACTAGATCAGYAGAGGAAGGAACTGAGAGCCTAACAACTGACGTAACATCCTGCCTTTAAATTGATTCAACTCCCCATTTTTGAAATGCTTTGGATGAAAGCATTCTTGACCTAAATCTTACAAGTTTCCAGGTGAATTATACCTTTCTTTTACAGACTTTTCAGGATACTTTTTAGGTACCAAGCTTTTGCTGCTACCTCCAAGCCTCTGGGCAAAACAACCTGATCCCACCCACTTCTCAGAAAGATCCCTACAGCCTCTTGGCTACCAAACCTTCCTGACCAGTTCAACAAGTCATCATCTGAAAAACAATTTCTTGAGACTCTGCCACARAATSGATTAAAAAGCTATACAGGCATATRGCACAGTCTGAGGAATCAATTTTAAATCAATCTGGTCTGTGTACCTGGAAAGAAGGCTGCAAAGAAAAGATATTTTATTTGAAAACTRTGGGAAAAGTTCCCTCTCAGGCCAATTTGCAATCACTTAGGCTACAAGAGAGGCAGACTTCACACCAATTTTTCMTAAACTGACAGACAAACTCCAACAGTTTCATAGGTGGCTGTTCTCCTGCCATGCTACMCCACCCAAGTGCCAATACTGGTTCAACAGGAACACGTCTTTGTTGTTCAGATGGAACTGAACTGTCCCTGTCACACAGGGACACCTTCACCAAACCTGTGACAATTCAACTCCGCCTGCTCATGCCAAGTTCCTACTAAGAAGGGTCTCRGTGGCTTACTGTGACACTGTGCTTTACAGAGAGAAACCTGCCAGTCTGGGTGAACACTGAGCAGCCTTTTGTAAAACCTTTAGCACTCTCTTTACTCTGTTTGGGAGCCCTTTTTTTTAGTCATAGTTTCAGTCTACATTTATCTAGCTCTTTAGAGCTTCTCTTGATTTAAATAATATCAAGCACATAAACACAGATTACTCTTCACAGCAGTAAAAAAAAATTTAGCAAGTGATGTGCAACTCTAATTCATCAAAATTTAATAGCACAGAGTGCAAAACATGCACTTTGGAGCAATGAAATAAATTCATGYTTACTTTTTGGTAGCTGAAGAATATATTTGTCAGCATTTACTACTTCCATTACCAATTTCTATTTCTCTTTCCCACTACCTGTCCTTTAGTGAATTGAACATTTTCTGTGAAAAATAAATTAACACCTATGTAGCAATTTTACTACCTAGTGATAGGAACAGACATACCTGAACTCCTCCAAATCCATTAGGAGCTAAGTAGCRCTCACACTCCAGAGCAATATCCTGCCAGCGCCATTCAAACAGATGCACAATAGATGTTTTCCTAGGGAGGGTGTTGGGGCTGTACTGCCCCCAGCAAAACCCTACAATTAACAGAAGAAAATAGATACCCATCCAGTGTTCTGGGATCAGCTGTGCTTTTCTCACTGTTTATGTTCCTGCAAGAGGGTATAGTAGATATTAGAAAAAACACATTTAAAAGAAAACATCCATCTCTGCCATCCTATTCATTTAACTTCATTCTATTGTCACGCTGTATGAGAAACTGGATGTTATCTAAACTATATCAAACTCTCATACTCACAGGTTTGCTATGYGAAGGAAACCAATCCTTTTCCTGATTTAACATACACTTGGAAATGCACTGCCAAAACCCCCAACCTGCTATGATACAGGTATCCAGATCTAAGTTTATATAAAATCTGACATGACTTCTACAAAACAGCCCTCATTTTTGCACCAAGGAAAGGATTATCCATATCTCTCAGGCAATGGAGCTGCACTCTTTGGAGCAAATTTAGGCACAATATATTCCAATTTATAAAGTGTAGAATCTGCCTTACAGAGCCCATTGCTATCAGCTGTCACTGTTCTTCACAAGCAGGTAGTTATTTAGAATTAAACATTTGGTATATTTAGCTTGCTTTTCTACTTGTGAAGAAAATAACTTTAAGACAATAATTTGCTTATCTTCAGTAAAGTATACAGATAAATTTCAGCCACAAGCAGTTGTCCTGCATGCTTGCATTTACATGAAAGAATGCCTTTTTGCCCTGATAGAGAACATACATTAAGAGAAAATAAGCTAAGAAAATTCGATCTTCTCTGATGAGAGAAGCCTTTTATCAGCTTGGCAAGTTTTACTTACAGCAGTAAATACACCAAGCAGTAAATTACACAAAACAGTAAGAATAATACACCTTGACCCAACCAGCTCCATGGCCTAGTGCTTAAAGAGAAGATCCATATAAATTTTAATTTCTCTGAGATAGGTTCATGGCTGCTCTGGCTTCAATATAAGCAACAGTAAGAGAATGGGGATGTTGAAATCCCCACACTACAACGGCTCCAGCTTCAGAATGCTTTTTGAAACTTGGAAAAATGGCAAGAGGCCATGTAGAAGAGTGCAATATTGACTGGAGTACAGAGAACTTGGGAGTGAAGAGTCTCTGCAAAGMTTTACGAAACAAACGAGAACATCTTGTCTTCAGCTGCAGCCTGTGCYGTGAAGCCCAACCACCATCGCCAACACACCAGCAAGTTTTTTAATTTGGAGAGGGCTGACGCAGAGCTGCTGAAGCAGCAGATGGCTAAAGACTGTCACAGAGAAGCACAGCAGGGGCCCTGCCCCTTCCAGCGGCTGCCCAGAGCACGCCCTTCGGCATCCCCGCCTCGGCCGCTCGTTCAGAGCCCCCCCATGCCCGGCAGGGCGGAGCTCGGCCGGTGCCCGGGTGCTCCTGCCCGGCGCAGAGCCCGCAGCGGGACAGAGAGCGCGGTGGGAACACGGTACGTACGTGCCGGGGCCACTCCGCCGCCTGCCGCCCGCACCGGGACCGTACCGGGACCGCACCGCCCCTTCCGCCGGGGCACAGCGAGCCCCCGCCCCGTCACAGCGACAGCGACAGCGCGGGACAGGCCTGTCCAAGTTTCACATTACACACCATCACGCTGATTCAATATAAAATTTCYTTCTGGAATGTATTTGCTCCCAGGTTTGAGAATGGAAAGATCTCTGAACATACACCTCCCGCACTTTTTAAAGAGTATTTCTGTCCTTGAGCATAGCACCACCTTGATGTCAATCCTACTTCGGCGCTTTGAAAATTCACTTGTGGGCCTTTGTGCAMTGTTTTAATAACTTGGTCCTGTACRTGTAGCTCAACATGGGTGGCAGGACATGTTACCATAGAACCATTGAAGCACTGAAGTCGAAAAACTTAGGGATCGAACAAACAACCACACAATCCCCATGGGAATGCAGCAAATAAGCTACAAGTATTCAGTAAAAGTATTCCAAAATAATATGCTAAACCAGTTCACACTGAAAAAAAAACCAGCAAAGATACACCTAACTTCGGTCCAGGCATCAATACTAGTGATTTAGAGTGCAGCTGGAATGATGACAAATCTTTTACACCAGCCAGTTCCCACAYCATCAAACATGGTTTAGTCATGGAATAACTTTTTGTTTAAGTCCATTGGACTTGCTCTTGCCAATTAAATGTCACTGCAATGTTTCCCACATGGTTTCAGACAGTTTTACCAACATGCCCAATATGTAGCAAATTCTACTACGTGACCACTGATRGTATCGCCCTTCAACATGGCAGGGACCAAATCTATACCACTTTTAACTGCTACTCTGATTTTAATAATTTCAGTCTCACTAGTGACAGTTTTCAAGTTGCAGATGAACAATGCAAGTTAACTGCTAAGGAAAAAAAGTGCCCAGTTTCACAGTACAAATTCAGGTCAGTGTACCAGCCCTCCAAGACAAGAAGAYTGTCCCACTCAAAACTCCAAAAATAAATGTCAAAGTTGAAAAAGTTGAAAAAATAAGAGAAGGCAGAAAAATGAAGAGAAGGGAAATAATTTATTAGATTTCACAAGCAAACTAACATACATTTCTGATGTAAGTTCTTGTGATACTTAGAGATATGTGGAATCTGTAAGACGAGAACATTTATTCTCTGCCTTAATACTTTAGAAATGCTACTACGCACAGTTCAAGAGTCCTGATGAATACACTGCTTCTTCCCCAGCTTGATAAGACTTGAAAGAGATGGAACACAAAAGGGACCTGGAACATCACAAAGGCATGTTAAAACTAAGAACTACTAGAAAATAGAAGTGTTATACTGGCTTCTGTCAACTGAATTGAAAGATGCTTAGTATTTTAAAAAGTGCTTAATGTTTAAAAAAATACAACTTAATAGATGCAGGCTGTAGTAATTTTATATTATAGAAAATTAAAYAGTAATGTAGTGTGAAACCCACAAGAAATATGTAAGTTACTAGCAACAACACTACCTCAGTGCAGAGAGCAATCTAACAAAATCCAACCAACCAACCAAAAGGTAGCAGTAATTAATAGTTTGATTATTAGTCCAACTCCAAATATTTCATTSCAAGATATTGTTAATTTTCTTCTTTACTCAAAAAAAGACAAAGTAAGGAATGTATAAACTAAATCAACTACAGATTGTTTCTCATATACCAGGGCAACAGTAATCAAATTATCTAAAATATGGTCAACCCCTTAATATTCAGACTGCTCTGCAACATATTTYAGCCAACATATTATTATATTAATATGTATTTAAAGTAAAACAGGGTAAATTGGTCAGTGTGAGCTCTGCACAGCTTCACACAGATCACCTTGTATGAGCTAGAACTGATCCACTAAGGAATGGGACCACAAATTGTTGAGGTCTGAGGAAGAAGGTGAAGGCCACCTTTTATGACCAGGAACCTTCATTGTGTCTATTCACACAATACAGACAATTTTCCCCGAGTCTGCTTTTTAAAATTACCACACTAGCTCAAGCTTAAAACATGTTAGCTCCTCCCCGCACCTACTCTATATGAAAACCTGAGATGCAGTTGAGTGCTACAGGAAACATTGCACAAAAAAAGGATACAACAAGAAAGGATACACTCTGCATGACAGTATTACTGCAGTATTTACGCAGGAATGTTTCTAAAGAAGAACAGCAGAATGTGGTTTAATTTTATTTGATTCTCAGTATTGCACACACATAACTTTATGTTACCTAACCAAAGCACATATGCCTCTTTGATAAAAAACAATTCTAACTCCTTATGAGATTTAATGAGGGCTGTTGAGTCCATCAACACTAAACTTCATGTTAAAAAGTAAATACATTTTTTTGATAACTTGAATTGCTAGGACACCAGCAGATTTTTCCATTTSCTTGAAGTCTTTGCCATTTTACAGACTCTTTTAATTCCCATCAGGTCCAAAACCCAATAACGTTTCCATTTAATGCCAGCTTTCAAACTATTTCTTCCCTATGAAGACCCTTCAAATTCAGTTTCTTCTACATAACTTTTCTTCCAAAAAAAGCTGTATTTTAACTACAGGAAAAAGTTATTCTAAATAGTAAGTGAACTTYTTGCCAGTCCATCAAAAAGACATTTCAGTCAGCAATGAGTTATGCAGTGCTTTTATAAACCATATGTATTATTTTCTCAGAAAAGCCTTTGTAGAGAAAATTTTAAAAAGCAAAACAATAACCTTAGACTCAGGTTTTTATCATGGACTTTTGCATCATAAATCAGTGTCATCAGAATATTCCAGCAGGAACATGAAGAAACAGGGTTCAGCTTAATCATTAGTTGGGAAATTAAACAAGTATTTTTAATTAAACCTCATTGATCTTTAGAAATCTGTGTAACTCCATGGCCCATTCTATGACTGTGACACAGAAAGAGTCAAGGTAAAGGAGAAGTTCTGCCCATGGCACATCACACCAGTGACACTTAGAAAATGCCAACTCTGGTACGACTTTCAGATGCACAATTAAGTCTTGACTCAGTATGGTTTTGCCCACTCTATAAAAAGCTCCTGAGTTGACCACCAACATAAGGACAAATAAGAACCTTGTAATTTTCTTTAAGCAATTGAAGTATTTAGCATGCTCAGTGAATTCAGAATTAATGTACCAAATAAGTCGAAAAGACATGGAATTCCTAAAAGAATGAAAGTGCTCAGGCTCCATTCACCAGGCTTTCCAATAGCTAAAATGGTTATTTTTTTTTCTAATATAAAGAAACGCTAGTAATCTTCTTATTAGACACTAGATAAAATAACATAAATAGGGGTTTTTTTCTAACAAGAAAGGAGTGAGAAACAAAACTTAAATTTTTCGTAAATACTTGATCCTAATAGAAAAGTTTAGCCAGGGCTCATTTATCTCTTTTCAAYGACCAGTACAGAAGCATGCCTATAAAAAAAGTGATCTTTAAGTTGACAAAATACAGATTTTGCAAACCACAATCAGCAACACAAAATAGGAACGAAAACCAAACAGCATCTCAGCTACAATGGAAACAACCTGAAATATAATCTGATTTGAAAAATCCTTAGATAATGGATAGAACAAGGAACCTACAAATAAAGTAGCTGTTAGAAATATTACCATCCTAATAACCACACTGTGTGCTTTACAACCAATCTGTAAAAATCAAAAACAACTGTTCACATCCTCTATTTCAAATTCCACATTTCTTCAGAATAACAAGGATCAAACCTCCAGATTAAAAACACACCATGGATTAAACAGAATTTTTCATAAGCAGTCAGCCTAAGATTTCAGTTAATTTTATTTTAAGCAGAGGCATAACCTGGGTGATCTCAACTGTAACCAGAAATTAAGTTCAGCGCCCTTCAAATTTGAGTTTGCTCATGTATCAGATGGTGAAGATTGAAAAGTGTGTGCTTTTTATTCTTGCACCAGTTACTTCACATGGTAATTCAAGAGTTCACTATGCAAATGTTTTCAGGCCATGAAACCACTCAGTTAAATAAGAACTGATTTTTGCATATAAATGAAATACTCAGATCAGGTAGCAGTGAAGTAAAGCCACATGTTAAGAAATAAAGTTAAGTAACAATTAACTTTCTGCTAAAAGTTACTTTCCCCTCATGTTTTAATAATGCCAAAAATAGGGACCTACACATTCCAAACAAAGGCAGTCTGTTCAATGCAACATTAAGCAGCACTTTCTGRCAGAATACCCTTCACTAATTCAGACAACTTTAAAGGATGCTCCACAGCACTACAAACTCATTTTCTAAAGGCAGCAAAGCCAAAGATCCTTTACAGGAAGTTTATTGCTGGAACCAATTCTTCAGGATCACTTTACAATGGCAGGGATGGAAGGGAAGGAGTTAAGAGGCAATGCTTTTCAATACCAAATCTCTGGAAGATAACTAAACTGTAAGTGGTCYAATTCCACAGAATTATCCTGCTTCCCAGATTAGGGTTTAAAGAAATTCACAAGTGCCCTGCAATATCAGGATTAGGAAAATATCGGTCTCTGAGCTTTTAAACAGAGAAAAAAAGCARTGTTTTAAACTTACACCAACTATACACCTTGCACTTTGTTTCTCTGATATAAGCACACATTTAAGAAATCTGTATAGAACACTTCCTCTCCATCATCAGTATTGCTAAAGAAGCCATTAAAGMGACAGTAAATAAAACCAAACAAACACACTAACAAAAAAGCCCCAGCCCAAATCTTKATTTTCACTTTCRTGCAGGGAGTCCATACCTTGTGCARTGTTCTACTTTTTTCTTTTCCCTTCGTTGGCATCTTGTTTTGGTCTAGCTGAACGAGCAAATTGCTGAGATTCTGTTAAGGACTACAAGTGTTTATGATAAGTAGTAGTCAATCAAGAAAGGAAAAAAGGATAAGTAGTAGTCAATCAAGAAAGGATTACTTCTGTAAATTAGTCTAGAAAATGACCTTTATCTGTGAATCAATTCTACTACAGTATCAAGTATTATACAACAGTGTCTATTAGTCAAAGACTAGGACCTCACTGAGACACAGTAMACAAGATATTAGTGAGCCTGTCCAAGAGTTTGCAATACTAAATAARTAAGGAGAACTAACTGGGAATGGGTTAGATACAAACAGATTAGCTACAGTAGGATAAATGCCGGATGTTTACAAACTCCCATAACAGCATGTCAATTCTTAACTTTGATGTCTCAGTATTAGGGAGGAAAAATAGTAAAATGGATGGATAAAAAGGTTAATGTAAGTATAAAGAAAATGAAATTAACTATAAAACATTTAAGTGAAAAATAAGAAAGGACTTGCAGAAAAGAAACAGTGCTATGCAATCAAAAGGTGACAGTTTCAGATGGAAAACCAGTCTAGAGACCACTGACTCCAACAGGAACACTTCCTATGTTCTTGAGTCTGTAAACACAGACCTAAACAACTCAAAACCCTTGTATTTAATTGAAATACCATGGTCATRCAAGCTAAATTATATTTTGTATTTGTCTTTGCAGGATCAAAGTGGTAAGATTGGAGAATTTTGTTTTTAAATAAAGCACGTTTACTTTTCTATTTTAGAAGAGGTGCCTCTACTTTTTTTTTCAGCTACCGTACAACACCACACCATGTTACACTGACTGATTTTCTTAAAGCATTTCCTTTTCTGCAGAGCACTGTGACAGGAGAACTAGAGACTGACAGAGATTACAAAGAATATAATGTAAATRCTTGAAGAAAAGGATACAACCACCATGGGTTTCTCAAATAAGACATATCCATTTGCTTCTTTTAATGCTTTAGCAGCTGCTTTTTCATTGGGAAGTCCAATGAAAGCCTGTCCCTTCATACGGCCTTCTTTCATCAAACGGATATCAAACCTAGGGCACAATGCAGAAGTGGGAATYACTCAGGTTTAACAAACCTTTCAGATTTCACAGTACAAATGTCATTCTTATGCTTCAAGTTGAAGAAATAGCAGAAACAGAAGCAAAAAATAAAAGTAAGAATGATGTCCTTGGAGACCATTTTGCCTGGRGAAACCATTTACTAAAAAACAATATAAGACTGCAGAATGGCAAGTTGGTGTGCAATACTACTAAAAAAGACAGATGCAAAATGATCAGATACACACAATCATCTACACTGTTCCTTCTGCCACATAGCCAAGAAAACCAAATTTGGGAACAAAAGTAGAAGGGCAAAGTAAGAGTCTTCAGTCACTGTTCATAAAATAATTCTATTTCTATACCTGTGGTAAATGAAGTATCTCAGGTGTAACACATTTTTGTTTATGTAGAAAGATAAAAAATATGACTATTTTCAAAATCACAATTTTCAGCAGTGTCAGAGAAGTTAATATAAAAGGCTTAATTTTTACTAAGTACCAAATGAACTCACATATTGCGCTCCACCTCTGATTGGAAGTCAACGTATCTTCCAAAAATGAACTTGAGATCCTGAAATTAAAGTGCACGTGTAAGAGAAGACCTAATAAAAAGCCTTTCAAATAGTTATTTAATTTGCTTGTTTACCTACCTTTTCTTGAACTTGYTTAGCTAAATTCTTCACATATATCCTGCAATTTGGATCACCTGGCTCATAGTTTTTGAAAACAGAAAATTTTTCCATTTCTTGAAGACAAAAAATAAACCACGCTTTAGCATATTTGCACTGCATACTTGCTCAGCATAATTTATGATGGATTAAGAAAATAAACATTTAAGCTATTTGTTGCAACAAATCAAAAAGCTATKACTAGATAATCTTTCTCACAGTTATACCTTCTCTAGAAAGCCTGTTTTTTTCTAGATCCTTTCTAGAAATAAATTCTGATGGTATTTCATCATCCTCCTCTTCAGTTTCCATTTTATCATTTGAGCTAGGAGCTGGGAAAATCCTTCCAAAGCCTGTATTATTGATTTCTTCTGTTGTTGCATTAAGGTCTGAAATTTCAACAAATGATGTAAGTGGTTTGGATGTTTATKCACAAGAGGATCAAGAGCCAGCAAGAAAAGCATACTCTTTTTCAGCAACATTTTAATAGAGCAGACTTTGTAAGGCAATTTGAATACATCCTTAAAAATAAGTCTTAATCCCTAATTTGACAAAAGCACCTGTTCTGTACAGTCCTATTAAAACCCATGTAGTACAAATAAAGGCCATGGCACACCCCAGTTAGCAGAAAACTATCCTTGCTTTTCAAGCCTGTATCCAKTTCAATATTTTCTTTTAAAGAAATCAAATATTACTGTAAAGCACCAAGAACCACAGATTAACCATAACCCTATAAAAAGTGATCACACCTCATTGCTATCATTGCCCAGCATTTTTTATGGCAGATAATCAGTGCACCACAGAGAAAGGGCTTGGATGCTGCTCTCTAAGAGCTGGAAAAGAAAAATCTAAAATTAGCCCAATATATTCATTTACACCATAAAATACTGAGAATGCAACTGTAACATTTGCATTTTAACATTTAAAAGACAGTGCAATTCCCCATAAACCTATGGAGCATGTAAGAGAGACCTTTAAAATTCTCTGGATCCTTTCCAAAGCTTGTAAAGGGAAAAACAGCAAATACAAACATGATGCAACTTGGTGTTGAAAACTCCAATACAATAAAGGAGAAGAAAATAATTGCCTGGCATAAATTTCACTGAAGCCACATGATTTTAACATTAAATACATTTGAAGTACGAACTCTTACCATTTTTTTCTTCTTTTTCTGAGTTTATCTGAAGAACAGCTGGGATCTCAGTACTAATATGAAACTCTATTTTTTTATGGCCTATGTGCTGTGGCTGCTCAAAGACATCTGAAGGTGACAATGTAGGATGCAAGTTACTGTTTAAAACAACAAAATATTAATTAAAGACTTAGACACTGATGAATGCATGGTCAAACACAAGATTTCTTACAGCTGTATTTTATGCTGTTGTTTAACACAAACACATGTTCTCCATTTCATACATTTCATCCAACAGAGTTCAAGGTGATTAGAACACTGCAAACATACCGCAGGTATGTCTGGTAGTGGGAACAAAACCAAGGATCACATACGACGTCACAATACACACAAGCATTTATTAAAAACTTCCATCAACTTAAGTATGAAAAATAACTGGCCTTGCTGCTGCTCTCACCTAGTGTGTAACATAAAAAAAAAATTTAAAAATATAGCAAATCATTTAGAGGAAGCAAGCAGCTATTAATAAAAATGCATCCACAATCATTCATCACTACATAGAAATATTGCACTGCTGTCTACTGTGGCATAGAACTGCAGTTCCAAAACCCAAACTTATTTTGAACCAAGTTAGTTTCTACTCTTCCAGTCTCTTACTTTGAACATTTTGTTTTAAGAAGCAGCTCAAACAATTAATCCAAATTGCTTCTGTGACAGTTGTGATATGAAACTAGTTACCTTTTAATGGAAAGGCATTTCTATTAAGTTTGATAGGAAGAAAAACCCAGAGCTTGAATCAGGCACACTTTACAGATTAAGGGTRTTGCGCAGATTTCAGAGATTAAAGTTAGAGGAAAATTTGGATTTTTAGAGCAATAAAACCAGTAGGATAAGGGATAAGGGAAGGACAAGGGAASACCATCTCCATTACAAAATCTACCTGTCAGTGAAGGATGCTTGTTTTGAGGCAGCCACACTAAAGTTAATGTGATACAAAGAACACAATTTAGTAAAATGTGTAATCTTCTCAAAAAGTGCAAAAACCACAGAAAAAACCACAAACCTGTGGGAAGTACACACAGGAACATTCAACATGTCTTTAATTCTTTGCTTTTTTCTAACACTACGTTTCTTTGTGTTTATTGGTCTTTTAGGCTGAAGGGTTGCTAATTCCATCAACTTGGTCATTCTAAACAAAAATAAAAACAAAAAACCAAAATAAAACAAAATGGTTTACAGTTTATTTGAAAATATTGATTTTGAAAACCCTCCCCTTTTCCTTAAAGCTCTTGACACAGAACCTTTCAGAATATAATTATAAAACTAGCTACCTTATAACTGAAACTGTAACACGCAGCAAATCAATATAACACAGAGAACTTAAGGACTGACCAAAATGGTAATAGATCCATGATGCCCTTCCTCCCCCAGGCATGCTCCTTACTCGGACACTGAAGCTGTGAGAGAAGCTTTGATGCCCAAAGGTGAACCTGATTTTATAACACAATTTCCAMTCAACAGGGATATATTTTTTTCCAAATTATGTGTTTTTCCAAATAGAGCATAGGGACTTTCTGATTTACTTTTCAGTTTAGACAGTGAAGAAAAAAGCTGCTTTTAAATTATTGTTAAAGACGAAAAAAAATATAGCTATGATGTAATTCAGTGTCAAAACTCTAAGAAAATCCTCAAATATTGTCACCATTAGCAATACACACTGATGTACGAAGAAGATTTTGAAAGTTTTGAAAGACATGCACACAMAATTTAGGCTGAGTAGTCAATTTAGTAAAGGTGTGGAAGAATGAAGACTTCAGAGAATAAATTAATTACTGCTGAGTTTTTTAGTTGGGTTTTTTTTGCTTTCAGCAAAACCAAAACTTTGCAAATGACTGTAAAATGCATACCTCTCCTTTTCCTCATCATTATCACTTTCATATTCTGATTCATCCCCACTAGACAGTTCTTCTTCCTCTTCAGGCAATGGAGGCTCTTCAGGAGGCAGAGGTGGGATTGGGGGAGGTGGCACAGGCACTGGTAAATATTCTTCATACTAATTATGGGGAAAAAGTTTAAAATACCAAACTTTTCAAAGCAAAAAACCCAAACATATCTTGTTTTCTTAGTAAAAACAGTCAAAGCAATAAATTATAACTACACTACTAATAAAAAGCTTTCCACAAGCAAAAAAAAATTCGCTGCATTCTGAAGCCTTACAGTGAACATTTCCACTCTTTAAGTACAGCAGCCATGGTCCTAGATTTTCACTTTGTACTGAGTTTCAAGAATATTCAAGAATATTCAAGAATATTCTTTCCCAAGAATAATTTGGTCAAAAAAGTATGGGTGGAGCCTTAAGCTTCAAAGCCATCTCAGTTTCAACAGTCTAAAGATTCCAGTGTTGCTGCCACAGAGGTACATTTCTTTGTTTCWAGTACAGTCAAAAGGATTTCTTTAGAAGACCAACATGTATACATCATACCCAGTGAAATGCAGCAGTATTGGCTTTAGAGAATCCTCCAGCTTTTAGAACTCATTTCTCCTACCATGCTGCTAACATTTTAAAATGAAAATCAATTCTACAGTACTGAAAACATATATTTAAAAAGTTACCATAGGAGGGCGAGCAGTAATTGGTCCAAAAGGTGGAGGAAGATTCATTTTATTCATTAGATGAAGTACCTGAAAATATTGAACATAAGTAAKGTTTTTTTTAAATAAGTAAGTCAGATTTTCTTTAAATAAATGGTAACCGTTCCTTGATAAGTAAAATAGCCAATCACTCCTGGCAGGTGTAAATCTGCATAGTTTAATGCTCATGAACAATGTGAACCTGCACTTGAGATCCAACRCTAATGGTCAATATGAGCAGCACCCTAACAAGGCTAATAAAAAAAAGTACAGCATCATCTCAGAATGAAATTCCAAATACTCAAGTTACATCCAGTTAGGAATAGCACATCCAGTTAACTCTTCAGGGTCAGTTAAGTAAGCTACCTCTGGTTAATAGAATCTCATTACCTCCACAGAGTAAAAGTAAGCTTGATTAACACTATCACAGAAAAAACTTAATATTTACAATGACAAAAACAATTATTTCTGTGGGTTATTAAAAGAGGAAAAATGTAAGTTTTTATGGGTTTTTTTCTTTTTTTTACTTACCTGCACATAAAATTTGGGCACGCTTGCCAAGGCATTTGCTATATTTGCTAGAATTGCACTTGAAGGTGGTGGATACAAATACTTGAGGCAAGAATTGATGGGAAAGGTGAGGCTGAGGAAAAAAGAATAAAAACAAGACACCTTAACGCTCCTGCCACATAATTACTGGTAACAATTAATGATTACTAGAGGCTTAACTATTGATTACATCTGAAGCAACACTGAAATACTGTTTCCCCTAGAATAGTTTTGGGCCACTTACAATGCCTTTAACATCAAGGAGTAGTCCCCAATGAATGACAGATTTACTGGGCTTGGGCATAATGAAAGGATCAACCCAGGTGGAAAACCTAATGTAAATGGAAACAATCAACATGTCCAAAACCAAAAGCACAGCATAGCAAGCTGTACAAATATAAACTCAATGCTTGAAGTGCTGTATTAGCTTCCAAAAAYTAACTTCTTCCTGTATGCAAAAATGCAAATGGAAGGGGGGAGGAAAAAGGAAGAAAAATCTGGAAAAACATGTCAGTGGTATTCTGCTGTTAACACTGGGACAACCTCAGCCCTCCAACCCCCCTGAGATGGCAATGCATAGTGCTAGAAGGCTGTTCAGCAATCCACAACTTCASAGCTCAAAGCACCAGTCACTACCCAACTGTGAGGATTCTGAACCTGAGGAACTGAAATTTCATCTTTATGACAACTCCTACAGTTATGTCTGTGAACAGTAGCAAACGAGGAAACAAAACTCTTGTTCAACAGYACAATAACATATTTCAAAATAATCTGTAAGAGAATAAAATAACACGAATAAAAACCCGAATACTAACCCATGGTTGGGTGCAATTCCATTCTCTATCTTAACACAGCTTGGTTCTATCTTCTCTTCTTCTTTCACTGGTTCTTCTGAACTAAAAAATAATTTAGTCTTAATTAAAACAGGGCAAAATTTAAGTTCCTTAAGTATGCATCATCTATTAATAAATATTAAGAAATAAGTTAGCATAGGCATTTTTAAAATATTTTACCAATTGTATTACATTATTAATGACACCTGTCATTAATTCTTCATAATTAATACATATGGATAATTACAGTAGTCACAGTCTTCTAAAATAAATATGTAGATTTAAGTCTCCCTATATTCAAACACTGCTGACTTAAATCCACTCACATGAAAAGAACTAAAATTATTTATCATGCACTTTGTTCAGAGACTATAAACTCAAAGGCATTAAATAACTGATTTGTTCATATTCAGAAAGTGGAATAAATAATTTGAAACCTCTACTACAGTACTTTTAATTAAACACTATCACATAGTTTTTTATCACTTGTTTACATATTCTACAGGTAATGACACAGTTCCAATGGGAGGAATGCAGTTCTCCTATTAGAAGCTAGAGATCTGTTTGATAAAACTTCCATGTGGTTACATTTATCCTAAAAGTTACAAGTACTACCAAATCATCATGAATACGGAATTCCTTTTCCTTGACCACAACACGACAAGTAAATTATCATGCACATACCTTTTGCACTTGTCTGAGACAGAAGGCTGGCTAAGTACCTGTACACTCTCTTGCTCCTTCGCAAATTCAACCACTAACGTGTGACCCAAAAGTTTCAGCTGATGCAGTCTTGATAAAGCCTTCAGGTAATTATAGTGAGAAAAGAAAGAAAGGGAAGAGGAAGAACATGAATTGTGTGTATCACTAGGGCTGAATTTTATGACAATTAACACAATTATGCAGGAGACAAGGAAACTTTGGTTTATAGTTTGTATATAATAAATGCACAGACATCCTAAACAGGCTCTGATCAGTCTCAGCTCGGACAGTTTGCTATGCTCTATGAGACAGGTGGGATCAGACGACTTCCACAAGCCCTTTTCAACCCACCTTTCTCACCACTCTGTGGAAACATTCAAGAATTTCATCAAGTCCTGCATGCAAAGCCTGAAACAGAACTCGAATACTACATTGTGCTGCTTCGTTTCTTCCTAGCACTAAGTACCGGATGATTTGTAAAACAGAGCACTGGCAATTCAGAAAACTGYTTTGCTAAAACATTCACTCAATACAAACCTTTGCAGCTGCATTTTCACTGGGAAAGGTAGCAAAAGCAGTATGTTTCTGGAAAACAAACAAACAAAAGTTACACTGTGTTCAAAACAAAAGGTAAGAGATTGCATGAAACACCTTAAGCCACAAGCAATTTGTTAGCTCAAGTTTAYATATTTGAAAGCTTCCAGACAGGAGTCAGCTAACTCCCACTCGGGGCAAAGATGAAGGACTAGAAAACATTTTCTTTAAGAATTTAGGGAAAGTACTTCTTGTAGTCAAAATTAATCGTCAGTTTGAGGAATTCAGGGCAGGTTTGTCTTTTTACTAATGAGCAAAAACCATCATAAACTGAAAGAAAGTACATATGGATAAAGAGTTCTAATCTTCCAAAACAGAAAGTTTCAGCATCGCACMGAACGTTCCCATAAAAGCAACTCCTAAAAATAATACTATTCCTGATACAAAAGTTGCAACTATTGTGCTCTGAGCGTTTGAATGATTTCTAACTTTTCTCCCAGCTTTTAGGTTTTAAAAGAACACTAGCTTTCCAAAYTAAATCCTCACAGAATACACAATTTATCTCGAAATTAAATTTGCTTTAACAAGCTTTATTACTTCATCTGCCACTACATGATTCCGTACCCAAAATTATTGTTAACAAAATCAGTATATTTGATATCGTATAAAGAAAGTGTGACCCTGACAAAAACCGCAGACATCGTCTGTCTGCAGTTCTGCAGAATACAAGGCTCTTTACAAACAGCATTTCTCACCAAACAAATACATCCATGTTTTTGTTTTCTGGAGGAATCAAAAAGCAAAACAGAGATTTCAAGAGACACACCGGTGAAGCTGCATCCCTACACACACGTGCCAAGAGGCCCTTCTGCTCTACTCTTCCACAGCCTCACGGCTAACAGCAAGAGGCCAAAGCCGCGGGCACAGGGCTTGCGGCGGGCGGGCACAGGAGCCCGGAGCCAGCGGCAGTACCGACCGCCCCGCGGGGCTCCCGGGACCCCCGAGCCCGCCCTGCCCCGGCCCCAGGCTCAGCCCTGCGTGCGGCCCGCCCCGGCCCCGGTCCCGGTCCTCACCAGCCGCCCGTGGTCCGACAGGACGCGCACAGACACGGCCCCGAAGTGCTGCAGCAGATCCTCCTTCTCCGCCGCCGTCAGCTCGGCGGGCAGGTGCCGCACCAGCAGCGTGCGCCCGCGCCGCCGCGACACCCCAGGGTGTGGGGGCACGCCGGGGTGCGGCGGGACGGGGCCCAGCCCCGAGCTCAGCCCCGGGCCGCCCGCGGGTCCCGTCCCGCCCGCCCGCAGCTCCTCAGGGCCCGGCGCCGCCATTGCCGGGGCCGCCCCGCGCCGCCGCAACCGGGGCGCAAATCTCGCGAGAGCCCAGGCAGGGCCGGGGCCTCAGGTCTCGCGAGAACTGGCGCCCTGGCGGAGGCGGCGGGCAGCGCGCGCTGAGGCGGGCGCGAGCTTTGGGCAGCCGGCAGCGATGCTCCCAATGGAGACCGGACCCTTCCCTTTCCCTTCAGCGCTTAGCAGTTGTTCTACAGACCAAATCATAACAAGCTTGCTCTCAAAAGTGCCCTCTCCTTAGCCTTTAGCTGGAGAGGCTTGTCCCTGCCTCAGCTGAACGGCGAGGTGCTGAATCCTGGCTGGCACGGCCAGTGCCTCAGACCAGGAGAAGCACAGCCATAATGACACTTGTGAGGGGACCCTGCAGCGTGGGCAGTGAGGACGGGCAGATTCCAGCCGCCCACCACTGCAGCAAAACAGGCGGCTCCAAAGGCTGCCTTGTTTGCGAGGCCATGGACTGTGATCTCAAACGGCCAGGGGAGAATCCCAGCCCTGACTGGTGAAATCTGTGCTCACCACACCTAATTAGCTGTTTGCCAGTTGGCAAAAGCACTGCATGSCTGTGTCACTGTTGCCACTGGCTGTGAGTCCCACAGAGCCGCTGTGTACTGGGCCAGGAGAGCGCCCAGGGATGCCCAGACTCTGGCACTGGGCTGGGGTGCACTGGAACCACAGAGAAAACATGCTTGGTGCCTGCTGAGTAGGGATGGGTGCTTCTTACAGCTCTCCATAGGAAAAGCAAGGCCTTCAGTCCACAAAGTCCTSAAGCCCCTTTGTTTTCCTGAAGGGTCATGATGGACCTGACGCTGTGTGCACAGGGCACCTGAAGGAATGCGTCTTGAGCCATGCACACTTGGTGACTGAACACTGACAGTTTGGGGAAGGATCTGGCTATTGCGGGTGGTCACAGTGATCTCATTAAGTCAATCAGATGACAATCCAAGTTCATCCAAAGGAGTTTGGGAAGTAGTTGGRCAAAAAAAGATCTTCTTGAAGGGATCTATGAGAAAAGCAGAAATGTAGGAGCAATTTCTTACAGGAACCATTACAGCATTTTTGTTGCTGTCTTAAGTAYAAGCTAGGAATCATGTATGAATTGGGAAACAGGTGTAATAATCGACACAGTGTGCAAAAAAAAAAAAAAAAAAGCAGTGTATTTTCTCTCTTGATAACACCAGCAGTACTGCTTTGTTTCTGAGGGTGTTGAAACTTTAAAAGTAAGAGTGGGCAGCCTAGCCAGTTCTGTGTGTGGCTTGTGGTTTGTAAAAAGTCCAGAAGGTTTTCTGGGATATTCTGGTCAATGTGCAATTGTAGCAGATGGGAAGATAACAAYTGCAAAAGCAAGCCTGTGGTGGCTGTGCTGCTGCATCCTGTTTAAATTGGCCTGACTTGTAGTTCACTCCTGGGTAATGACTTCAGAGAACTTTTTATGCCGCAGATCTGTGAAACTTATAGGGAAAGCAAACCTTCCTGTTGCCCTTTTAGTGTTCYAGTACATTCCAATTATTAATCTGCACATCATTCACCAGATGGTGAAATAATGATACRACTTCAATTATGTTTTCCTGTCAAAACTAAGAAACACTGTTCCCAGTTCTGGTCAGAGAACGCTGAGTAAAATATGTACTTTTAATTACATTGAACAATTGACAATGAAATAACCAATCTCATGGCTCTCCAGCCCACCTGTTCCTCCTAGTGCAGAATCCCCCTCAAAAAAAAAAAAAAAAAAAAAAAAAAAAAAAAAAAAGAGAAAAAAACTCTTTTAAATCTCTTCATCTGTTAGACCAGGCTGCTGAAGCAGAACATCCCTAGGTTTAACATAGTAACATGCAATTCATGCTGATAGAAAAATGTGCATTTTTTTCCTAAGACACAGAAAGTGAAAGAAAAAAAAAAAGTGACTTTCTCAACATCATGTCTACAGTCAAAATATATGAATAAAATAATATTTTCATTTTTACTTTCCAAGATGTTAGAGTTGTTGACTCTTGAAAAATAGAGTTCAACACCAGTGCATCATGTTTGTGTGTAGAAATCCATGCTTTAGGAGTTCTTTGCTTATGCAGAGGTTCAGTGCAAGTGATTTAGCAATGCCAGCATAAGTCAGAACTGCAGACTCATTCAGGTCAGGAAGGMAGGAGATCCTTTTGCCGCAGTCTCTAGTCCAGTGTACTCAGAGCAGGTCAATAGTGAAATCCAACTGCATCATTCAGGACTTTCTCCAGCCTGGTGTCAAAAGGCCCTAAGGGTGAAGATTCCRCAGCCTGCATAGACAAGCTTTTCCAYGCYTWAWTWAAMMMCYKGKKRKTTTTTTTYCCTCCCAATTCATTCATTTGAAAGTGACTATATTTGTATAAATGTGTTGTATCTTCATGAAGACAAAAAATTTATTCCAGTTAAAATGTATTGAGTTGGTAAGAACGRCAGTCTGATCTGTAGCTATACAGTGACTTGTAGAACTGTAGAAGGTGCAGCCAATGCTGTTTGACTGGTTCTAAAAGTGAAGTCTGTTTTTACTTTTCCTTAATGGACTGAAAATGCAAATTTTACAAATGCTGTGTAGCACTCCAGTTTCTACAGAGCTTCTAAACTGCTCTTGTATGTTTGCATGCTTATGTCTCTCCACACACGCCACTGATTGCAGAGCCTCTGCTGTCATGCTAGGCCTGTATTTCTGCATTAGTGATAAACATTTTGTTCTCTACAGAATGACTACTTGTTACTTCAGCTTATATCACATCTTGTTTTCAGCACAGAGGTAAAAGTAAATGAAATTCGGCATAGCCACCCTGTAAGAAATATTGATGCTACATCAAAACAAGTTAAGACAGAGCTGCAGACAAGCCTAGATGGATTCAAGCAAAACAAGTCTGACATCCCKCAGTCCTGAGGCTTTGCAAACTCAGTGGAAGCCTGTGGCTCTTTATTAATAATGRCAATACTGTCTTTACTGGCCTGCAGGCCAACATCCTGCATTACCAGGTCATTGTTGCAATAATAACTCTGTAGATCAAAAATATTTAAGTTACAGGCAGTATTAGATGTTATTCAAACTCAGCTCCCAAAGGATATTTTTCCTGCCTCATTGCTTGTGAGCTACATGAGCCTATSAAGGTATTTATTTGTTAAGAGTCTTGTAAGCCTCAGGCCAAAATGTTTGGATTGCTAAGGTAAAAAAGAAAACCGCAAGAACAGCTTTGAGACACAAATGACAGCACTGGATAAAATTTGATTTTCATTGTTTTGGTAGAAAAGGGGTCACTGTGGTGGCTTCTATGTGAAGCTGCCAAAAGTTTCTCCTTCTAGAAGAGCCCGTGCCAACTTGCCCCAAGACAGACCCAGCCAGCTTTGCCCAAGACAGCCCATGAGGCTTTTGTTACATTTTCTGTACCCTGTCCAGCTGAGGAGGGCAGGGAGAGGGGTGCTTTAGGTGGCACCTGGACCCCAGACAAGGTCAACACTCCACAACTACATAATCATACATACAACCTCTGAGATTGCAAAATGATTGCTGTAAAAATAATTTTTTGCAACAAGAGAAAGCTGATATTTAAAGAAAGCTTTAAGTCAGGTAACTGCTTTCCTGAGCTTTACCAGCAATGCTCCCTGAATCATAAGCAGACATTTTCTTTCTGCTTTAAATTTTTCTGTCTGAATAAAATACAAAAAYAATAGATAATCTGCTAAGAATTCTCCTTTTCATATTTGACCACTAGATGATGCTGTGACTCTTAATTGCAGATAATGATACTGTACTGTTGACATTCTGRTTTATTTTATAGAACTCTGCAATACTGGGGATTTCATGTGATTTTTGAAGGTGTTTATAAATGTTCTCCCTGGATGCACATGTGGACTGCTTTGAGTAAAGATTTTTGCAAAAGGGGGAAAGTGTACTGAGAAGAGATTTGAGGCTTCTAATTCAGGTTTATCTGAATTAGACATCTCATATTTCATTCTGTTTATCTGTCCTACATAGTCAGTTAGAATGGTGGGTTTAGTTTCAGTTTTAGAAATCATTCCTTTGTGATATAAGAGCATCTGGAATAGACATTTCTATTTAACAATTAATGTTAAAAAATTAGGTGATCTTACTTATTCCCATAGGCATTATTTCTGTATTTTGTTTCTGTAAGTCATTTGCCATTTTTATATTAAGAGTGTAGTGGCTTGACCCACATATTGGGTGTCTCAGCCAAGAGCTCCATTAGGCTTTCATACCTGACACCTTTTTACTGATGATCTTCCCAAAGTGATTTTAAGATAACAGCATTCTTTCCTGTGAGCGAATTGTTTTTCACCATTTGCCTTTTCTATGAACTCCTGTTAACACTTTTTAATTCCTGCAGTAGTGTTTCCATCTTCTTACCAGAAATGTTAATGCAGCAAGGTGAAATTGATTGCAGCAGACTAAGCAAACTTACTCAACTAGCTACGTCCTGTACTGAAGTGCTAAAGGCACAGCTCCATTCAGGTGACCCCCATATGTCAGAACCAGAGAAGGAATGAAAACAGGCTGCACAATTCAAAACAGCTTGCAAGCTAGGTCAGTGCCAGCCAGTTCCAGCAGAAAAGAGKTTTGGAGGCTTAGCATCACCTTTCCCACTTTCAGACATGCATGTAGCACACTTCTGCCAGTCAGAGGTCTGGATCTTATTTTTAATTGTGAGGAAATTACTCTCTCTGAGAGGTAAGGAGCACATAAAGCCTGTTTTTCCCTCATTGGAATGGCATCTGCCACTCACACTGGGGTCTGATCGGGAAATGCCTACATGGCACTACAATGCCAGCGTCACTGGGCCATTGTTACATCCCCAGCAGGCTCTGAGGTGAGGTAGAACTCCACATGCATTTTAAAAGTAAGCTTCATTTTTGCATCTCGTTAACCATTATAGTGAAACTGAGCTCTTGTCATATAATTGTGCTAACTCTCATTTTGAACATGTTTTCACTAATTTACTTTGAGGTAGGCTTATAYGAATCATTAAGTCGGAGTAGTTTTGCT